ATTTATCGCATCGTCCAATAGAAAAATATGCCCTCGCAAGTACTATAGAAGTATACTTTTAATCTTAGTAAATAAATGAGTCACATTTCATCATGTTTATAAATTTATTTTGTAATAAACTTACAACTTTATCTTGACCTTTAGCTTCTGACAATGCCATTTCTAATTTATTAAATACATCTTTTATCAAAGATTCTTCAATTGGAGGCTTTATCGATATTTTTGAGGACGTGTCACTATAATAATTCTCTGGATTGAAATTTTTTATTTGTTCTTTATCAATTACTTGAACTAATGCTAATTCTGCCAACACAGTTTGTTCAAGAACTTTTTAAAAATAATAAATAGAAAAAGTAAAGAAATAAAATTGAGAAATGCATTCCCATCCAATTCGATTCAATATTTTATATATATTATAATCAATTGTTTATTGACATGATATAAATTAATAAAAACCTATTCCTGCAGGATTATGTTTACGATATTTCCTTGCAAGCTCGGGAATTACATTCCAATTTCCTTGATGAGTTAAAAAAAATCCAAAAATGAATGAATTAGAAAACTATTGATCAATCATAAATAATAATTATTATGTTGTTGTTTTGATGATGGATACAATTAATTAAATGATCAATAATCAAATAAATAGAAAGAAACCTTTATATCTAGCGGCATCAATTTCTTTTTCTCGTTGACTTGCTTTAGCAGGATTTGGCATGTTTTTATTTAATTTTATTAGAAAATATTTAAAATTTTGTTTGAACTTTGTGAAACGTAAAATTAATCATTCAAAAAATAAGGCAAAAAGACAAAAACGTCGCACTACTTTATAACAATTTTTTTGTTGATTACATTGGTTTACAATTAGAACGTAAATTAGATCTTTGAAGAATTTCCGATGATGGTTGTCCAAGTTCTTGTAACTTTGCGTTGAAAAATAGAATTGCAAATGATAAAAAATAAAACCAATTTTTTCATAAACATACTTCTCGCACCAAGTTTATTATAGCTTTGTCTTGTTGCCCATTATTATTGTTGAAATCTGGTAACTCATATCCTTCAATGATTGTTTTTTGATATTTTGGATACTTCTCATTAAGCCATTTTGTTGAATACTGTATAAAATTAATAAATAAAAATATTTGTATTTTTTTTTTAGATGTTATATCGTGCAACACAAAAAACATTTCAATCACCAAGAATTCTACGTCATCTCATAAACTCATTAATAACATTAGGTGATTACGACGAGGCTGAATTAGCAGTTAATGCATATATTGCTTTAGTGGAAAAAGCAAAAGAAACAAACAAAAGCGACGTTGTTAAACGGATGAGTAGCAGTGGTTTAAATAAGTTAACTGAAAAATTTATCGATGTGGAATCAAATCAAGATTTTATGCAAGTTTTAATAACAAGTGCTGAATTAATGGCTAAACAATTGGACAAGGTTTTCCAATTGTTTGATTTATTATTGTTATTGTTATTATTATGTTATTATTATACTATTGTTAAAATATATATTTTACTATTAATAGCCAGAGAAAACTTTGGAATTGGCAAATAAAGCAATAAAGTTGATTGAAAATATTGGTGTTGGACTTTCTAAAGAATTAATAGCTAAAGCATGGAGGTTTGTTGGTGTTGGGTATAGTATGCTTGCTGATAAAGGTAGTAAATTTTTAATTTATATTTATATTATTATTATTATTATTATTATTATTATTATTATTATTATTATTATTATTATTATTATTATTATTATTATT